TATCTATTATCAATTTTATACGAAGCAATGGACTGAATCATAGACAATTTCAAAGTTTTTTGATTGAAATTAATGCAGACTATGGTGATGTATTGCACTACACCGCAGTTAGATGGTTAAGCAGAGGTCGTGTACTTGAAAGGTTTTTCATGTTACGTCAGGAAAAATATAATTTTTTGAAAGAAAAAGGAAAGGACGCTTCCCTGTTTGAAAATCAAACTTGGATTTCTGAACTGGCTTTTTGTGTTGACATATTGAAGTGTATAAATGAAATCAACATAAAACTACAAGGTAAAAATCAACTTATTCCTGATATGTGGTTTCATATTAAATCTTTTGAAATAAAATTGAAAATATTACGGTCTCACATTGAAAAAAAATGAATTAACACATTTTCCTAATTGTAAAAAACTTTTTGGATCGTCAGAATTTTCATTATTAACAGTTAAATTTGTTGAAGCTATTTCGATACTTCAACAAGAATTTAATATTCGATTTCAAGATTTCAAACGACATTCACAGTATTTTCAACTACTCGCCAATCCGTTTAATATTGATGTTGAAGATGTACCTGTTGAGCTTCAAATGGAAATAATAGATTTGCAGCCACAAAGTATCTTAAAAGACTCATTCAAAGCATCGCCTTTACTTTTTTTCGTTGAACTTCCTGCATCATTTTCAAAAATTAAAAATATAGCTGCAAAATACTTCAGTATGTTTGGATCCACTTACGTATGTGAACAGGCTTTTTCTCATATGAAAAAAATTAAAAATCCATACCGTTNCCAGCACAAGTAATTTTAATGTGGAAATCGAAAAAATAATAAACAATATTCAACAACAAAAATCACATTAAGCTTATTAAGCAGTTGTAATTTCCATACTTTTATATTATAATTATATTATTAAAAACTGTAATTTTATTTTTATGTTCTATTAATCTATTATTTTAAAGTTTTAAACAGTTATTTTTTTTCTTAGTAAATAATTTGGAATACAAAACTTTTATTTTTGTCTGGCCCGCGAACTTTTTTTAATTTATGAATGTGGCCCGGGAGTCTAAAAAGGTTGCCGACCACTGATCTAACACGTATACAAGTTACAATTTGAATTTATAACTGTATAGAAATTATACGTTTCTTGTCTCTAATACCTATTAATTGTACCTACCGGCTACCCGTAACCCCAAAAAAAGGTTGCAAAGGTATAGAAGAACTTACTAATAGATTTTATTTCTCCTTGATTCACCTTATTGTCAGGTTATTCAGGTGCATATTGTTTGTTTAAAGGTGTACCAAATAGTAGGGTGCTTTGCTAATATTGTATAATATTAGTGTCTATTATTATAGTAGTCGCTGTAGAGTGACCACTGGCGTAATTTTAGCTGTGGAATAGCATTGACATTAATCGTGTAAAGGGAAAAAACGTCTGAAAAATTCTAAACAATTTCAAACACCGTCTAACAAACTATGAAGATTTCCAAACAGCGTCTGAAATTTTGGTTGTCAGAGATATTTGGTTGAAGTATCCCGGTACCAACTTCACGCACGTAATATCTTCTGACGCGTTATAAATGTTATAATCTTTATTCGTTCGGGACGCAAACAAACGTCTACCTGCTAAACCCGAAAGCAATTGAAACTCGAGAACGGTAACGAAGAGAGCCGGCCAAAAGAGACGCAATTGAAATTACGCCGAACGCAATAGACTCGATTTTCCGTTTAACTTCGGGACGCGATCGACTATTTCTGGAATCCCTGCTTGATACGTTAAAAATCTAGTTATACCCATACAAATCCCTGTGCATTGTATACATATTCATCAAAATAAAATGTTTAACGTAAAAGCTGGAACGTTTATAAAAAAAAAGGCAAATATAAGTATTTGGAGACAATATTTTTGGGCCCTAAAGTTTTTTCTAACCGAATTACAAAAAAAAAAAAAAACGACCGGAAATAACAGATATCGTAATTGCGTAAATTGTCTAATTTTTCCCTACGTATTTCCCCAATTATTCAGAAAATTACGAGGAAAAAAAAAAAAAAAAAATCTCCTCTTGAATAAAAAACTAACCACGTGGGCGCGATTTGATACCAGAATCCACCCCTATGAAAACTAACGATCGGACAACGATTCTGGTAGAAAAAAGTTGTTTTGCAGACAAACAAAATAGGGTGCGCGTAGTATTATCACGCGCAGTAAAACCAGCGTAATCCGCGTTTAGCACAGAATCTGAAATAACCACGCGGCTATTATTGTCACACAAATATGTATTATTGTACGTATTTCGAATATTATTCATCGTTTTAAGAACAATACACATGTGTCGGGCTCGGAAGTTGTTCCATTTGCACATTTTTTCCCATCGTTCGTTGCTGAATAGATTGTTAAGTTCGTTTCATACTTTTTTTTTTTTTTTTTTTTTTTTTTCATTTATAATGCAATTTCGGATACTTTCAAATGTTATTCACATAGTTCAATATTTGTTCTATGTAACAATAAAACAACGGTAGGAGCCGTGTCGGAATAATATTATTATGGCGAATTCGTGTCGAATCCGTTATTCCGGGCTTTGTCGATTATAACAATACGTAAAATGCCATTTGATAAGACGACGCGCGGGTTGTGTCGTTTTCCCGAAACGTCGATAACAAAATAACCCAACGAAACTCGCGCAATTATGATGTTTTTTTTTTTTTCACATAGTTTGGTAGACAGAAAAAAAAAAGAAAAAAAACGATCGCCATTTCTGGTATTTTTCCGCAGCAACAACGTAATGTTCAAAGCGTGATTTTTACACCGACAACGCGATCGGGGTTTCGACGGTTTTTTTTTTTTTTTCAAGCGCAACAACTAACCACCTCGCAGCCCCGTGCATCGAATACCCGCGCGCGTATTTCATATGAGCGGGCGTACGCTCTAACGTTAACGCTCCGCCGCCGGACGCTATCCGCGCGCTCGCCGCGTTTACAACGTCGGTTCGCGGCCGCCGCGTCACGGCGCCCCCCCACCCCCCTTGCCTCCCCGTCCGCGCGCGCGGTCGTTGTCGGTGCACGGTCGCGCGGAATACGTTTTCGCCGTTTCGCCGACAAAACGGTTCCCGTATATTAAACGCGAAACCACGCGGATCTCCCGTCGGACGCGACCTCTCCCGGCGTGCCGCCGTTATCGTGCCGTGCGCGCGGTCGCATTTGCGGTGTTTTCAACGATCCCGATTAAATTGCTCGCGACCGACACGTGACGTCGTCGCCATTCCGACGCGCGGTCGTTTTGCCGCGACAACACCGTACGGGCGGATCGGGGCGTTCGTCACGACCGTTGAACACCGACCGCCGTCGGTATTCGCGTGTGTGTACGCGCGTTATCGAAAAAACAGAAAAAAAAAAAAAAAAAAAAAAAAAAAAAAAACTATCGCGCTATTGCTTGCTTGGCCAGCGGTCGCGTTACCATACAATTGGCCGAGGAACGCGTGCGTAGCTAGCTCTCTGGGCGCGCATATTTCAGCCCGCGGGCCGAAACGAATAGGTAACGCATCCGACGTATTTACCCGAGATTCTCGATAACGATGCTATGACGGCGATAGACAAACGGTTTTTTTCAACGAAAATTAAAAATCATTCACAATACGCGGCGCCCGCCGGGATTGCCGGCCTTTTGAACCGTTCGTTTTGCGACCGATTTAAAACGTACCAGAAATTTCAAAAGGAAGTGTCCGTGTGCGGCGATGCTGTGCTTTCTCTTTCCTCATGAAAATTGCCGCGCAAAATTATTTAAATTCAATCGTCCTTGAAATTTTTTGCCCGGGGCAATCGCCCTCCTTCCCTAAACGCGCCATTGACACACATCTACGGTACCGTGATTTATCGAGAGTACAAATTTATAATAAATTCCGTACTTGATAGTTACGAATCAAGGTTCGGGTTTTACGGCAATTGTATTAAACTTCAAATCAATATTTTACATTATGGGTCGTCCAAAAAATAATTAAGTAAAACGAGAATTTATTTCACGGCGCAGGAAATATTTAAATAAGAAATTATATTTTACGCACAGCTCTACATATCTCGTATAAGGGTTTCAGAAATTCAATTTCAAAGTGTATACATTTTAGATTCTGAGTGGAGCGAGGAGGAATGTATTGCTTTTCACAATGATGTTTATTTTTTTTTTTTATGTGAACACTTTTTATATCAGAAAGCATACTCCGATTATCAAGTATAGCATCTTTTCTGAAAGGAAATGTTCTCTGGGTGGTACTTCAGAGAGATCATTTGAAATTATAATTAATATTCGAGTTTATGAAAAAAACCTGGTTCTTTAGGTTAAAAAAAAATTGAAAGATTAAAAAAAGGGCTGTCTTTGGCAAACGTTTTTATTTATTTTTTGTTATTATTAAATTTCTATTATTCTTAAATCTTTTTTAAACAATTATTATTGCCATGGAAACGCGCATTATTGTAACTATTTTACTATAATATGACGTAATATATTGTTGACAAAGCAACACTATCAACTGAACTCCGCTCAGAATCATTTTTGCGTTAGCAGTGGTTTATCGTTGCTTACAGGTATACATCATTTCCCCCTACTACCTTTCCAACTTTCTTTTTTTTTTTTTTGAGAATTTTTATCGACATTAATTTCAGGTACATTATTATTAGATAATAATATTTTAAAGTGACATTTTGTTATTCATAGCTGTCACGCGATTTCATAATGCAATTTACCTAGTAATTGTACATAATGTAAACAAGGAGTCCGTGTGCGCAATGGTCATAAACTTATAAACTTATAATAATTTAAATAGTTACAAATTTAAAATAACTCGTTTACACGCGTGCAGTTGTTTCGTATCGTATAAAGTTAGGTATGCGGTGTAAGGTTATTATACCGACCAGCATTAGTAGTTTTTACCACTCCCGAACTACGCGATATCCCCTTCCAGAAAAAAAAAAAAAGTACATTTATATAATGAAATCTTCAGTAAATATTCGTCACATTTAGTTTGTTCTCGGGAATTGCGATAGGTCGACCAATAATAACTGCAGCAGTTTGACCTAGTGAGGAGAGACTTATCAAACGTCGCTGAGTATCGTAAGTATATTGTAACACTATTTATTGCATTATAGACCCTCCCTCTCAAAGGTGTACCAACTAGGGGATGTTAGCGGCTCATTAGCACCCCAAGTTTAAAATTGACACTCCCCGAAATTACCCAAACAAGCATTTTTTTTATAATATCGACTAATTTATTTTATCCACGTCTTTCGTAATTAATAAGCAGAACAAAATACAGATTACCTATAAGCAATGCATTCGTCTACAAAAAGTTGAAAAGTAATGATACATTTATTTACAAACAAATCCTAAATAAAATGTGTTATTAATTTGTTATTCATTATTTCACATAATCATGGTTATCTCAATTAGCTCATAGATAACTTGAAATTTCAACTTTATTGAAAATTGAAATCTGTGTGTTTCGTATTTATTGTTATAATATCTGCTAGATTTTCAGATGATTTATTTGAGTATAAAGTAGGTAATATTGTTATCAAATTTAAATTATAAATTGCATTATGGAAACTAAAAACTAAAAATTAAACTATTATTTATTAATATTGCCGTGGTTATTGTTATTGTTATATTTGCTTTGTTCTAAATATGATATTGTTATTATAATTTTGTTACACAAAAATTGAATATTATTCCCAATTTATTTAATTCATTTATTTTAAGGATAATCAATTTATTCGCAAGTTAAACTATTCAGAATAATTTTTTTATATTTTATTCACAACTAAAACTATTTAAAATAAAACATTATTCTTTATTCTCAAAATAATAATTTATTCGTGCTTTTACATTTTAGAGTTTAACGAAGAATGTATTGGTTTTACAAAGATGTTTATTATTTTTATTTTTTATGTGAACACTTTTTCTATCGTAAAACTTATTCCGATTCTTAAGTATAACAAATTTTCTGAAAGGAAATGTTCTCCGGGTGGTATTTTAAAAAAGCTCGTTTATTAAAATTCTCATTAATATTCGAGATAATGAAGAAAACCTAGTTCTTTAGGTTAAAGAAAGATTGAAAGGTTAAAAAATAAATATCTGTGTAAAACCATAAGCTTCTTCACTCCACCCTGTATTTAAAATAAGGCTGTCATCGGCAACCGTTATTATTTATTTTTCGTTCAAATTGAGTTTTTTTTTATTTTAAATCTTTTTTAAACAATCATCGTTGTCATGGAAAAGCGCATTGTTGTAATCATTTTATCATAATATGACATAATATATATATATATAGTTGACAAAGCAACACTGTCAACTGAATTCCGCTCAGATTGGTTTTTTCGGTTCATTTGTTGTTTACATTGACATACATTAAATTCCGGTCTGTATCCTACCTTCCCAACTTTCCGCCTACAACAGTGGCTGCGCCCACGTGCGAAGTATGACCGTCCATTTTTTTTAATCCGTCATTTTGATTTGTTTTTGCCCGACTCTGTTCCGCCGCACGGGTTTGGCTTACAGATGACGGCCGCGACGACGGGACGGTGCCGAAACGGCTTGTACTCCGGTAATCTGAACGCGTTCGCGGTATCGGCGATTGTGGTGGTCGTCGTGGCCGCGACGTTCGTCTGCGCCGAGAAATTCGAGAACGATCTGTCCGGGCCGTTATGTGCGAAAATCAATCGGTGCTGCGACAACAGGAAGGACGAATGCAGCGTACCACTGAACGGCACCAAGTGTTATTGCGACACGTTTTGCATGAACAGCACGGACTGCTGTCCGGACTACTGGACGCATTGCCGGAACGTCGAACACCCTCAGCAGGGTGCCGGGAAACCGGAACCATATAAAGAGCTTATAGCCAATCCGGAAAGCTGCGATTTCGGTGAGTACCCGTTCTCGCTAACGCCCGCGTAATAGACAGGGTAATATTCCGCGTTCCTTCGTTTCCCAACCCCATCCCCCCCTCCGCCCCTTGGATTTTTCAATTTATACCTATTGTATTGAAGCTGATTTTATTTGTATAAATATCCATAGACATCGGGCGCGTTTACAGAATAATATTTCGGTGAGAAAGGAGGAGGAGGAGGAGGAGGAGGAGGAGGAGGGGGGGGGGGGGGGTGGTTGAGAACTCTGCGCTCGATAACCGAGTGCGATAAACGCGTAAACACTTCCCATTTAGTTATATTGGTTGATGACAACAGCCGTGAGTCAGACTCGAAAGTAATAAACACCGGCGGCGGCGGTCGTCACCGCGCGACGTCGCTCATGAATATGGCGGATCGGGAACGCGATGATAACGATTTAGCATTTGTACAATGATAATTTTTTACGATTTAAACGTGATTCAAATATAAAATACAGTATATAGTTTTATTTTGTTTTTTTATTAACATTGAATATTCTTGTTTATGCGCAACGTCAGTAGTTTTCATCGGCCCGTTTTCGTCGATATAAGTAGCGGCCCCTGTGTACCGGAACGTATATGTCATTTGTGTTTCGTCCTGTAACGCACACACAATCGGAAACAGCGTTTTCGTTTTTCTTGGTTTTTCACGCCTCTCTAGGGGGTGGGGCGCGCCCCCGGGTCCAGAACCCTTTTTAGTAGACGGTAGCAACGAAGAGACGATCCTAAAACGGAGTGTGGTACATAGAATACGGAATGTAGAATTTCAATGCACCGATAAAAGTGTATCGTGTACATGTTTTACGGATCGTTCAGCGGGGAATATTTCCGCCGGTGGGACCGGCGACCTAAGCACACATTTTTTCCCCGTAAATGTGTAGGCACACGTTAAACACGTGCGGTGATAAATACATTTTTTTCCGATTACGCGCGATTTTCGCACAAAACAATAATGTTATAACATATCGTACGATTAGAAAACACTTATAATAAAATACGAAGTCTGTAGCCGAGTCCGTAGTGGCTGTTAATTTCATTGTAAAAAAATTGCGCGACCCCTTCATCTCTCGTTTTCGGTCGACGAAATCATTGCTAACAGGCCGGAAGTTAATTTATTAGTGACGCTACACGCGCGACAATGTATTTGTTTATTTATTTTTTAGGCGATGAATTGGATTTGTTTTTCAAATGCATGGCTGCTACCGTGAGAAAATTCCCGCAACGTATTATTGTCGAAACGAAAATCAGAATCTTTCAGATTGTCAGCCAAAGCGAACGTTTGAACACTACTTGCAGCGGTGTTCAAGTCGTCAATTAATGATTTACATACATTATTATCTATACGGGCAATACACGGGCCCGGAACCAGTCTAACGAGTCTACGAAAAAATATGTTGTTAACCCATACAAATTGTATCCTTTATTATAGCATAATCTATCGTCAATTATTATGGATAATAAATTGTATACGTCTATAAGCATATCCTATACAATATTAAACAAATTGCTTAATAATCGATTTGTATTGATTGTATATTTATATCCCTTGTAACAATAATTCATACGAGCAACTGTTAAATACGTACGATCCAGCCCGGATTAAGATGATTTTGCAGGGCCTGGGGCTAAACAATTTCAGGGGCCCATGAACACAATCAAAATATTAGTGACTCACAAATAAATACATTTCAGAGATCGTCGTACATATTTTGTAATCGACGGTACTCCAATTTCCTTACTATGATCATAAAAATAGACGATATTACGATAGTATAAATAATAATATTAATAATGTATCCATTATCCGTAATATATTATAGGAAACGCACTACCCGTCGTGTCCAGAGGTTCACATACTACGATATCCAGGGGCCCGAGACCATGGCCTCCTCTGGCCCCCTCTTAATCCGAGCCTGCGTATGATTTATATAAAATGCGTAAATTATGCGATGAATATTTTCTTGAAAAATCATCTTTTTTCGGAGATTTTGTCGGACACGTTAAATAATTACACATTAGTTAAAATACGCCTAATAAATACATGTACATTTACAGAATGATAATATGTATTGAATTGTCGGATAAGTATTTAATATTAAATACTATAATATTTGGCAACGCGCGTCTATTTTCATTCTTTATGTGGTTAATTTTCGATTCGGAGCGTATCGAGGGATTTATTGATTTTACTATGATCTGCGTTCTTGTTTTTTGTTTTTTAATTTTTTTTTTTTTTTTCATGTCTGTAAACAACTTTTCTATCAGAAATCTTACTCCAATATATACATTGGTGTAAGATATTTCTGCTGTGTAGACCTTTAGTGTAGCACATTTTCTGAAAGGTAATTGTATGTAAGGTCTTGTATGTTTCATTTTAGTCGGTGAGTAGGTAAATCGTTTTTTGATTTTCCAAACTCGGAAAACAACCAAAAAAAAAAAAAAAAATGAAAACTGATAAATTTATAGCGTTATGATTCCTTTATTTCAAATGTTTTTTTGCTGGAAATAATGCTCCAATAAACAAACAACGAGACATCATTGTTCTTGCATTTTTATTTTTGTTGGCCCTCTAAGAAGGAATCAATTTCAGGAATCGTTCCTAAACAAAACTGCTAATACTTATAATCACATAACACAAACTCATGCAACATTCAAGCAGTTAACATTCACCAGTATTTTGTCTGTTCGATTAAATTTTATATTTCATATTTTAGTTTACATTAAATTACTATGGCTTTGAAATATATAAAAGTGACCGGGGCTCAGCAAGTAAAAATTCAGCAGTATGTTGCCGGTCAAAATCCACCATAAAAAAGTATCATAATAAAAGTGAAAATTTAAAATAAATATGTGCAGATTATAATAACGTATAAAAATTGACTACCTCTGTGGTGTTGCTTACAATTTTCAATTGCAAACATAATGTGACAGAAATACAATAATAGAAGAAAACATTTCACTATTTACTTATGAACGTATACCAGTGAACGACATCACCGGGGGGATTTTTTTATTTAACTATACTGTTTTAATATTTATGTCTATGTTCAATCGTGTTGCTAAAAATGTATGTGCTGTATCAAATTATTTTCTTACCTCCTCTTAGATAATTAATTAAATCGGCATATCCATCAACCCGGAATTCCAGTTCGTACAATTGATCATTAACGTGGGATATTCATTTTTAACCCTTCGATTATTTACTGTTTGTTTTTCGTTGTATTTCATTTCCATGTTGGTCGAATATCAGAAAACACGGCTTCGTAAAACTTTTAAAACTCCTACCAGCTGTAATTATCCTCCGGAATTTATACAAATCATTCTTTTTTTTGGAAACGTCTTTATTAGCTGTCCAGCTGCCGCGGTCTGTGGACTCTGGCGACCGTGACGGTATCAAATGTGACGACAAGATTTGACGGTCGCGGACGGATGTCATGGGATAGCGAAGAGATGGTTGGTTCATGGACGATGGAGTCGGTTTGTTCGTGTACGACGGAGAGAGTTTGATTGCGAGTGCCGGAGGAGACGGTTTGACTGTGGATGTCAGAGGAGTCGATTTGATTGTGGGTGCTCGAGAAGACGGTTTGATTATGAGTGCCGGAGGAGACGGTTGGTGCGTAGATAACTGGAACGATCGGGGTTTTCCAGCGACCTTCAGCCGTTTAGGTATGGCGTTCTTCGATCGTGCTGTCGTTGGGTAATTCGAATGGTAAAACGATTCGAACAACCATTTCTCCGAGGTTGAAGATTGCTTCATCCGATTCGATTCTATCATCCGGATAGATCTGTCATCTGCAGCACGGATTGGCCCGTCCATATAATCAGCTTGACTGGTCTGGTCTGTATAGATAGTAGTTAAGGTGAAGCGTTAGTAGTCGGGTATTAATTATCAAACAAAAACTAATGCCTAATTTTTTTACTGGTAAATATCTTACGAATTTGAAAAAAAAAATTACTCCGTTGTTCAAGGAATGTGTGGAAATTATTTATTAATCTCATTATCTTTGTCTAAAATGTTTAAAAATTGTGTAAAACTCATTGTTGGTACTTAATTTTTTTAAACAAAACATATTTCTCTTTAAAACAACAATTTGGTTTTAGATCTGAGTTGTCTACTGCAGATGCATTATTTGTATCAAAGAAACTATCACTATCATTATCAAAGAGTCAAATTTAATCATAATTATAATGTAACATTAGAGTATTTTGTGCCGTTTAATAAAACACAGTATTTCATTTAAAGAAATTCGATCTACAAAATCTTTTTCAGAAGAAAGCAACATCAAATTGTTTAACTTAAAATTTTCTTGACTGTTTCTTAAATGGTTTTTGGCTAATTTCAATTTGGTGAATGACCTTTCATTGCCAGCAACGCTTTCAGATGCTCTATACGATAAGCGGCATAGTAGATTGGCCAATGACAAATCAGGGGGTCTATTCTGCTTTTTTTCGTGAAAAAGTGCGCAAGTACTTCGAATACTTTCGAAAGAAGCGTACATGGCGTACTTAACTTTAGCGTTGTCCTTTCGTAAATGATTTAAACTAAAATCATACTAAAATATGTATATATAATATGTAACTACCGTTATCGTTTCAGTTGAAAATCAAGTAAATAATACAAGCAATCAAAATGATCATAATTTTACAAAACTTGTAGTAATACCTAGGTAAACTTAGTAAACTTAAAATAATTTACTATTTCAGTAAATTGTAATAATATAATTATATTTTAGTAATATAGGTATCCTGTCAAATTACATTGCTTTCCAAAATACATAGATTCTCCATGACAACTGCAGTTGTTTCATCAACAATTGCACAGTTCATTTTTCGTAAGTACATTTCTCTATAATCTCTTACCCACTCCGATTTTAATTTTAAATTAAACTTTTTTTTCTCATTACTATAAAAAAAAGGAGTGAACATTTTTTTTCTAACTCCATATATTAACATTATTCACTATTATTTTTCTTCTTTCTTTTACATCCCCCTCTTTCTGCATATCGAGTTCAATTAAATTCGAAAAGATATTTGTCGGTGATTCGAGTTTGGTATGCTGAACAACAAATCTTATGTGTTGTTATCAGCCACTTTTACCAGTATAAGAGAACGCAACGAAAAGGGGCAATGTTTTACTACCAAACTCATAGGAATACCCATTTTCCTGAGGACAGGAACTTAGGCTTGATATCTCCTCATTTAATCGATCCTCAAATTCATGAGTTTAAGGCTTTCCGAAACCACATTTTTAATATGTTAACTGTCAATGGCCACACGGATTCACAAATTCTTAATCCAATGATTTTTAGGAAAAGAATCCTGTCCCTTTCTTGCAACGACTTTATAAAAAAAAAAATGTATGACTACCACTAGTTGATATTTTAAACAAGACAAATATCAATGTAGATTATCCTGCTGAGTACTACACAGCCAAACGGCCAGCTAGGTCCATGAAACTTGGTGAAGCACATGATATGCTTTGCAGGAACAGTTATGCAATTGCACATTGCCATAACCCGAGTATTAATATAGTATTCACAGAATGCCCATTTCTTTTACTATTTTAAAAGAAAAATGTCCACTAAATATCCTTGTTTTAAAAAAATATTTTTCTTCTTTTTCTGTCTCTCAAAAATCCGAATAACTAGTCATCACATTGATTAAATTAAGTTAATATACAGTACACCTACATGAAGTTGGCACTATCAATATAGTACAACTTTATAAAACCACTTAGACAAACCCTAATAGTAATTGTTAAACAATTGTTAGAATTTTATAAAAAAAATATTTATAAATTATATGGTTTTACAAAGATATTTGTTTATTTTTTTTTTTCTAGAAACTTTTCTAAACTTTTTTAAAAAGGAAATTCAATTTTCTCAGGAGTCTTCTCATCAAATGCAAAATCAGAAAAAAAACGGGAAAATATATGAAATATAATAAATATAGTATTACGTTTTTTTTTCTGTGTACATCTTTTCCACGAGCAATTTTGCTACAACTTTTAATAATAGCAATGTGTCTGAAAGGAAATTTCACTGGGAAGGTACTTTAAAAAGGTCACTTTTCGATTTTCTCAGGAAATTTCTCATTAAATCTGAAAAACCGAAAAACTGGGAAATATAAGACATGTTGGTATTAGTTAAAATATATTACGGACTTCTTTTTTTCTGTTCACAACTTTCCTATCAGCAATTTTGCTCCAAATTTTAATTACAGCAATATCTCTAAAAGAAACTTTCATTAACCAGGTACTATAGAAGTCATTTTTTGATTTTCCCAAGAGTTTTTCCAGAAATGATGAAAAACCGGGAAAATCGTAGGGAAACTGAACAAATTGGTAAAAAATTTAAAAAAATTGTATTACAGAAAATATATAAAGCCTATTTAATTAAATATCTTACCTTTCATTTTTTTATTTATAGCAGTTTGATAGCCAGCACTACTAATTTAAACGGCCGTTATTATTGTAAAATATCTAATATTCAACGGCCAATATGTAATGCTGGCTATAAAACCTCTATAAATAAAAACAATGTTAGGGACAGTTTGATTTTATTGCGATTTATTAAAATAGATTTGTTAGACGTGTTTTTAAACATGGAATTTAAACTAAGTTTTTGGATGGTTCTTTTTAATTTTACATTATTTTAGTGCTGAGTGGGCACCTGGCACATGTATAAATGGGAATATTTTTGAAACTTTTATCTAACGAATTCTAAAAATAGTTTAATAATGTCTAATAACTTCGTGTAGAGTTTGCTAGAGTGGTTTCGTAAAGTTGTGCTATGTTTGTAGTACCAAGTTCACTTAGATAAATAGTATTATTATAATAAGATATGACTATAAAATATATTCATAATAACACAGCAAAATGTTTGAGATTAATATTTTATACTATTTTAGTTTCAGAAAAAAAAAAAGAATCATTTTTAAGACCTATAGAATTTATACATTACACTTAAATGTTATTTTTATGTTATGCAAATAAATATATTACTTAGATATAAAAAAAAAAAAACTAAATAAGGGAAAATACAATGTCCCACAATGTTATACTTATTGTGCTAATTATCTTCAAATTTTTCAAAAATAATAAAAAGTTATTTTTTAAGTTTTTTATCAAAACATAAAAAATTAATTGCAATATAAACATTTGTAGTCTTTATCTCTGTGAATAATATAAAAGAAATAGAATTTGACTATCTTTATATTCTCCAGAGATAATATAATGGGTATATCTTCGTGGGACACTCTGTATAGATAACATTAGTCTTTAAAAAATAATTATCATTATGATCTTGTATAAATTATCTCAACAACATTATACACATATTAAATTTTAAAAAAAATGTACATATACAAAATGCATATAGGTACATTTAAATTTCATACACACTTACACTACTTAGACATTATTAATATATTTATATCATAAGTCCTTATTGTTTTATTTAGTATTCAGTTTTAGTTTTCAGTGAGTTATTAATCCCGGTAAAAAAAAATATGTATACAGTAAAAGCTGCTTATTAGGAACACGGATTATTGATACAATTGCGTACTTGAAACAATTAAGAGTCTATAATAGAGATACTACTATACTACTGCGGTACTACATTATCTTATCTTTACTATATATCGTTACGTATCGATACTGAATTCCACTTGTCCGATTAATTTCGTTTACTTTTACTGTTCTTTATCGTAAGTACAGTACCTACTAAGCTCTTTATTATAATTTTTTTAGTTTAGCTTCAGTGTGTAAACGTAAAGACGTAGTTAGTGTTTCGGCTTTCATCAACATCAAGTTACTCGATGCAAGAAAATAGACATTGATAGATACATATTTTACATAGCAAATAAAATAATTCATTTTTTTTATAATATATATTAGTTATACATTTTTTTTTTCATGGAAAATAAAACCAATCGGTTAATTGATACATTTCATCTTTGTCCAAAGTTCCTAAAGAGCGGCTCCTACGTATATATAAAAGTATATAGTATATAAGTATAAGAATAGTATAAAGTATTATAAATATTATTATTTTTTTATATCTGCTCAACTTTTTTACCAGAAATCTTGCTCCGTATTTTAAGTGCAGTGCCTTTTCTGAAAAGAAATCCGACTGGGAAGGTACTTTAGGTCATTTTAGGTTAAAAGTCATTTTTCGATTTTCCTAGGAGTTTCTCAATAAATGTAAAAAACCGAAAAAAAAACTGAGGAAAAAGGGGAAAATGTACAAAATATATTACTAAAATATTACGATTTTTTTGCTGTGCATAACTTTTTTACCAGCAATTAAGCTCCAATTTACAAGGATAGCACTTATTCAATAAGGAAATCGTACTGGGACGGTACTTTAAGGATGTCATTTTTTCAATTTTCTCGAGTTTTTCCAGCAAATGTGAAAAACAAGGAAAAAACACTGGAAAACCGGGAAAAACGTAGTAAAAACTGGAAAACCGGTACAACATGTAACACATATTATTAAATAAAATATATAATACTCAATTAATTGGTTGCACCTATCTCCATTATTATAGGGCAGCCTTTTTGTTTTATTTTCTTTCGATCATAAAACTATACAAATAATATATTATATTTATAAAAAAAAATAATAATAAATATCTCATCTATCATGTTTATAAGTAAACATTTTTTTTTCAATATATAAAATAACATTTAGGATAAGAATAAGAATAATAAGAAGATAATAAATAAATAGAAGAACATGAACATAAAGAAGAAAAAGAATATCAATAGCATTTCTATATATCTATAATATAATAACATGAGGATGTGGTAAAAAACTTGGTTATAATTTTGTAATACATTGAATATTTTTAAATTTTGAATAAATGATTCAATATGACCTTATACAATATTAACAATTTCATCATTCATAATATCAGTGTTTCCACTTAAGTGCGCCACACCTTAATTCACAATAATAATCATTCGTGTTTCGCGCATAGAGGCACCCCACTTTAAGCTATTTTGGCGGTTAAGTGGTAGTCATATAGAAGGTTTATAAGGCCCCTTACGCGTCATAATACCACCAGCAGTCTTCTCTTCTATCATCTTTGAGTTTGACTATCGGTTTAAATAAAACTATCAAATATATTAATGATGAATGCCTGCATGCTTGAATAATTCTAACTGTCAAAAAAGTATTCAATAGTTTTTTACCGGACTATTGAAAAAGTAGTCTATAGTTTTTTTATTGAACTATCGAAGAAGATATCCGATAGTAAGAATTTCTACGATACCTATTTTTGTTTATTGGCCATTCTCCAGCTAAATTGTACATATAATATTTCTAGTTTATTATCATGAATAAACCGATAGTTCGACGAACCAATAGTTCGCTAAGTTGATGGTTCGATAAACCGATCGATAGTTGTAAACTATCGAATAACTCAATAGTTTCCATGCTGTCAAGCTCATCAATATTGGGTTTGCTCAGTAGTGGAACTTTTAGTGCTCACTCACTTCCTAACACCTCACAACACTTAAATTCTTCCGAGCCTATATAATAGTTGCAGATAGCATAGGCGGGTCGCGAGCCTGTTGTATTGGTTATCCCATACTTCTAAACGTGTTTGTTTTTTTTCATCACCGTACATATGAGTATACATAACACATCGCCTCCGACTGGCTGATTCCACAGCATAGGAAGGTATACGATAGCTCATGATCGTCTATCGGGACAAACAGTTGTATATACGTTTGAGAGGTACAAAGTATACTGAATCACAAATCGGTTATTTAGTTTCTGATTTCAAATCCACGTTTATTTAGAATTTAGATAAACTAATTGGTGTTTATATATTATATTGTAACGATTTATCGAGAGCTAACTTATATTTTGCTTCTTACATATGAGCGACGAACTTCAAGTGGAGTACTCGAGGTAAGTAATAATTATCATATTCTCGTAATAGGATACTAATTAGAATAATTTGATATAAAGAAAAATTTCGGTAATACGTATTCATATCAACACAATATATATATCATACAATAAAATCCATACAACCGAAAACACAAAGAAAACCATTATAAAATGTACAATATTATAACACTTGTTCGTCGAGTCACATCACGAATTAGTTAGTAGAGACACATGCGGCCAGTACTATAGTCAGGACTTATCAAAGAGGAGGAGGGATTAATAACTATTTTGCTTATGTAAATATTAATTTTGGAAATCCTGAAATATATTTTAAGCGATCAATATTTCTCCTTTTTCTTGATTATCTCATTCAATCAATGGTTTGGTAATAGACTATCTAGTATTTTCCTTCTCGGAGTTTTGATTCCGACTCATTTTGATTTGTATGACAAACCAACTATTTTAGAAGCTGTCAAAATATATACCCAAGATCTACGAATTATTAACATATAAACTCTGTACTCAAATCTGAATTATTTTTGTAGAGACAACATCTCAAAGCATGTCTCACCTAATGTCTCGTTGTAATAACGTTTTACCTATAACATTACATTTATGTTACAATTATTTGCAACTTTACCATTAGGTAGGTAACTTTTACAACACCAGAGCGAACATTTTTTACCTAGTCAAAAATGAAAATATACTTACGACCCACAATGACGGAGAAAAGTCTAAATGGTTTGGCAATGGCAAATATAAACAAAAAAGAACATATCGTGGAAGCAAATGTCATACAAATGTTTTCTCATAACGCCATAAAAAGGATGCAGTTAGAAGATTGGATTCATAACAAATTTAAATAAAATATTGTTTTGAATAATTTATTGCATAATCAACAAATTAGTTTTCATATGTTAAAACATGATTTTACAAAATGTGTAAATAATAAAACAACAAATTCATTTTTTTTTTTTGTGGGACTTGTCCCTTCCCCGTATACAAAATTCTTGGCTAGGCCACTGAAATTGGACAATCTTGAAACAGCTACGATAGCAACATTATGGAGTGATGTACTAACTAGAACGATTTAGAAAAACTAGTAAGTAGGTAACAAATAATAATAATTACAATTATTGTAGCCAGTTGATTTAAAAACAGTAATAAACCGGGACACAAAACATAATAACAAAAATTACGCAAAGAAAAATAAAATTAATAATAGATGAAAAAAGAAAAGGCTGGAAGAGAAATAAATTTAGAAATTTAAGATTATTTTAGGATTAATACTTATTGTACTATTATTGATAAACTACATTCTGAACTAGAAAGAAGAAAATTGTACTTACTAAGAAGTTAATAAAAAATGTTACTTTTTATTTTAAGTAATAAAACTGTCGCTATTAGAAGTGAATACAAAACAGGAATTACTTTAAAATATATATAAAATGATCTTTCTTTTTCATTTTCTAATGAGTGTGGATATAATTCAGAAGTTATTTAATAAGTTTAACTAAGAACAAAAGACCTAAAACTATAGTATAAATATAAATATTTGAAAAATTATCGGGACTAAAAAACTAGCTGTTTCATTACGTAGATGTAGTATTAATGATGTATTTATATGCTGCTTCATTTCCAATTTTTCAGCCGAGAGATCATTTTCAGCACAGAAGAAGGTTAAATTTTATTCAAGTTCGAGAATGATTGTATTCGTATACTGACCGTATTAGTAGGTTAGTGGTTATCTCGATTGTATTTGCACTTACCATAGATATAAACTTAAATAACATTAAAAATACCTATATTTGCAAAACAAAATTCACGTAGACAATTTTTTATTAAATTTTACTTAATTAATTTATGTACCTATTAAATATATATGTTTGTATTGGAAATATTTGTGGTTTTTAATAATCACCTTATATCATAGTTAACAGTTATTCTTAAAAGAGAGCGTTTAAGGAATAGTGCTCCTGGTTGCCAAAAAGGTAAATACGTCTTTGAATTTACGCCTATGCTGCCATCGCATCAGAATGGTTTACTTGGCTACTTGTACAAGTGCACTAATATTGGAACATTTATCAAGTAAATCAGTGTTACAAATACCAAACTCGTTACTTTGTACCACTCAAGGTACCAACAAGTTTTAATATTTCCTACCTGAAACTACTATCGAAATTGACGTTTTTACTGCTCTACGAGCAACGGTGACGTTGGACACAAAATACAAATTGGTAGGTATACATTTATTTATTTATACCTTGTTTGCAACAACATGGTTAATGAAAAATGATTCTGAATGAAGTTCGGTTTTGAAATGTCGTAGGTATAAATTTTATGGTTTTCATTGAAGTTTGACTATAAAAAAAGTTACTACTACCTATATTACGATCAACTTTTTTTACTATTTTATTGTACTTATTAACCCACGTATTAAATTATCAAGCATATTTATTTGGAAAAACAATTTTATTTACATGATACATTCAAAATAAAACTAAAAATATTAAAAAATGTTAAATATCAATAAATAGATAAATAAAATTGCTGGAATGTTTTGAACATTTTATGAAATCTAGAAAAGTCTAATTATAAGAATTGTGTACAAATTTCAGCTCTCTGATTATTTTTAATCGATTTACAAAAAACAAAAATTGAACTAATGAATGCCGAAAATCTAATCGTTATGAAAACCGCTTAGGAAATCAAAAAATTACCTTCTCAATGCACTAAATAACAAGATGCAATTTAACAAAAAATGTCACTTGTGAATTTTATTTTCTTTGAGGAATAGTATGATCCGAGACTATATACGGATTTTTACAGTCCGTGATTTAACGGTACAAATATACTGAAATCCCGGAAGTATACGGTTCGAAACAATACGGTTTGTGTGTTTATTTTTCCTGATTCTAACAGTCTTGGACTTGTTTATTCCAAACAAAAATAGTCCATGATATTACTTTCCGGGATTTTACGGCCTCCTGTAAGAACATGGCGTTTTTCGGTATTTAAATTTGTCATTTTTAAATTGTAATATTTTACGTACACGTATCTCGTTTGAATATTAAAATATCAATTAAAATCAACACACAAATACAGATAATGCTTTTATGATTAAGTTTGATACTATATCAATTGACTCTAATATTAATACCAACAGCACAAAAATAAAATTGATTTTACTTAACGAAAATGTGATTTTATTCAATTTTTTATGTACTAAACATGTTTATATTTATTATATATTTATAATATTCCAGGTGCATAGCCAGGGTTTTTTTTTTTGGGGGGGGGGTTGATTTTGGGAGTTGATTCAGACTCTATGTACCTCTTCCTAGGCTACGTACCTGTAATATTCTATACATCGATATTATTTATATTAGTTTTTTATTATGTGAGCGTGTTTGTAAATTAATTATAATTTGCTGAATGAAGGTATTTACCGTCATAGTCATAGAACTCTGCATCATTGTAAAATATTTGATTTGTGTCCCCTAATTTTTTTTCAACAGGATTTCGGTAGTCTATTGATAGATTTAAACATACGCTTATTTCGGTTATCAGCAGCGAAAT